CTGTGTTGATATCAAGATCTTATTCTGCCTCCTGGATGTTTGCTTCCTCTTTAGGTGGCTCCCTGTTCAGCAATTCTTTGAAATGCTATGTCCAGCGCATTTCTTGTTCTTTTTCGGTTGTTAGTAGGTGTCCTTGTTTGTTCCTGATGAGAGTGCTTGTTGGTTGGTGTCTGCTGTTTACCACTGATAAGCTGCATCATTTTATAGATGGTTTCTTGTTCACCACGAGCAGCTGCATCCTCTGCTTGTGTTGCCAGATCATCAATATAATGCTGTTTGTCCACTCTCGCAAGGCATTTGACCTCCCAGTGTGCCTTGCTATATGGCTCATGGTATTTGTCCTTTAGCTTCTGGGATTTTGTGTCTAAAAACTTTTTTCTTCAGGGCTCGTCTGGTTTCCATGGCGTTCCATGTGCTGGGTGTGATTCACTTCTTCCTTTTCTTCTGCCTGTAGCCTAGACAGGCTTCACAGCTCTGTTCATACATTGCTGTTCCTTTGTCCCACTTCTTGTTGATCTCATCTGCACTCCCCTCCTCTTCATCAAGGTCTGCAAGTGCTTGGAACCTGTTCTTTAACTGCAGAACCAAGGCTTTCTGTATTTCAAGGGACTTTAGCTTCTCAATATCATAACATCTATGTCCCTTGTTTGGTGGACTCACAGTTCTCAGTTTTAGCTTCATGGAGGCTGTCACAAGGTGGTTGTCGCTGCCAACAGCTGCACCCCTTCTCACTTTCACATCTGCCAGTGAGCATTGTCATTTGCCATTCATCATGATATGGTCAATTTTCAGAGTAACAGCCGTGTTAGTCTGTATTCGCAAAAAGAAAAGGAGTACTTGTGGCACCTTAGAGACTAACCAATTTATTTGAGCATAAGCTTTCATGAGCTACAGCTCACTTCATCGGATGCATACTGCGGAAAGTACAGATGATCTTTTTATACACACAAACCATGAAAAAATGGGTGTTTACCACTACAAAAGGTTCTCTCTCCCCCCACACCACTCTCCTGCTGGTAAACACAAGATCAAAACCGTACAGACACACCCCTAGAACCCCGACCAGGGATATTCTATCTACTACCCAAGATCCATAAACCTGGAAATCCTGGGGGCCCCATCATCTCAGGCATTGGCACCCTGACAGAAGGATTGTCTGGCTATGTAGACTCCCTCCTCAGGCCCTACGCTACCAGCACTCCCAGCTATCTTCGAGACACCACTGACTTCCTGAGGAAACTACAATCCATCAGTGATCTTCCTGATAACACCTTCCTGGCCACTATGGATGTAGAAGCCCTCTACACCAACATTCCACACAAAGATGGACTACAAGCCGTCAAGAACACTATCCCCAATAATATAACGGCCAACCTGGTGGCTGAACTTTATGACTTTGTCCTTACCCATAACTATTTTACATTTGGGGACAATGTATACCTTCAAATCAGCGGCACTGCTATGGGTACCCGCATGGCCCCACAGTATGCCAACATTTTTATGGCTGACTTAGAACAACGCTTCCTCAGCTCTCGTCCCCTAACACCCTACTCTACTTGCGCTACATTGATGACATCTTCATCATCTGGACCCATGGAAAAGAAGCCCTTGAGGAATTCCACCATGATTTCAACAATTTCCCTCCCACCATCAACCTCAGCCTGGTCCAGTCCACACAAGAGATCCACTTCCTGGACACTACAGTGCTAATAAACAATGGTCACAAACACCACCCTATACTGGAAACCTACTGACCGCTATTCCTACCTACATGCCTCCAGCTTTTACCCTGACCACACCACACGTTCCATTGTCTACAGCCAAGCTCTGCGATACAACCGCATTTGCTCCAACCCCTCAGACAGAGACAAACACCTACAAGATCTCTATCAAGCATTCTTACAACTACAGTACCCACCTGCGGAAGTGAAGAAACAGTTTGATAGAGCTAGAAGAATTCCCAGAAGTCACCTACTACAGGACAGGCCTAACAAAGAAAATAACAGAACGCCACTAGCCGTCACCTTCAGCCCCCAACTAAAACCCCTCCAACGCATTATTAAGGATCTACAACCTATCCTGAAGGATGGCCCAACACTCTCACAAATCTTGGGAGACAGGCCAGTCTTTGCCTACAGACAGCCCCCCAACCTGAAGCAAATACTCACCAGCAACCACACACCACACAACAGAACCACTAACCCAGGAACCTATCCTTGCAACAAAGCCCGTTGCCAACTGCGCCCACATATCTATTCAGGGGACACCATCACAGGGCCTAACAACATCAGCCACACTATCAGAGGCTCGTTCACCTGCACATCTACCAATGTGATATATGCCATCATGTGCCAGCAATGCCCCTCTGCCATGTACATTGGTCAAACTGGACAGTCTCTATGTAAAAGAATAAATGGACACAAATCAGATGTCAAGAATTATAACATTCATAAACCAGTCGGAGAACACTTCAATCTCTCTGGTCACGTGATTACAGACATGAAAGTTGCGATATTACAACAAAAAAACTTCAAAACCACACTCCAGCGAGAGACTGTTGAATTGGAATTCATTTGCAAATTGGACACAATTAACTTAGGCTTGAATAGAGACTGGGAGTGGCTAAGTCATTGTGCAAGGTAACCTATTTCCCCTTGTTTTTTCCTACCCCCCCCCCCAGATGTTCTTGTTAAACCCTAGATTTGTGCTGGAAATGGCCCAACTTGATTATCATACACACTGTAAGGAGAGTGATCACTTTAGATAAGCTATTACCAGCAGGAGAGTGGGGCAGGGGGAGAGAAAACCTTTTGTAGTGGTAAACACCCATTTTTTCATGATTTGTGTGTATAAAAATATCTTCTGTGCTTTCCACAGTATGCATCCGATGAAGTGAGCTGTAGTTCACGAAAGCTTATGCTCAAATAAATTGGTTAGTCTCTAAGGTGCCACAAGTACTCCTTTTCTTTTTGCGATATGGTCAATCTGATTCTTATCTCTGCCATTTGGAGACCACCACATCAGTTTGTGACTTTCACCATGTTCAAATAGGGCTCCACCGATGACTAGGTTGTTCATATTACTGAAATCAATAAGCCTTTCTCCATTTGCATTCATGGTGCCACACCCATGTCTTCCCATTGCTCTGTCATCGTTTGTGCTGTCCTTACCCACACTGGCATTCAGGTCTCCCACGATGATAATTAGGTCGTGGCGTGGTACTCTCTCTAACTCCACCTCTAGCGTAAGGTAGAATTTGTCCTTTACTTCTTCGTCACTGTCATTTGTCAGAGCATAGCACTGAATCAGAGAGATATTATTATGTTTCCTTTCAGTCTGGCTCTCATAAGTCTGCTGCTGATGGATTTCCATTCAAGCAGGGAATGCTTCACTCCCTTCTTCAAAAGGATGGCAACACTCTCATGGTGTTGTCCATCATCCCATCCAGAAAACAGCAAAGTTTCTCACAAGGCTGTTAATCTTTCTGAGCCTGACCATCTGCTCTCGCTGACACCCAGCGTCTCATCTCTGCTGTGACCTGAGCTAGCTTCCCTGTTTCATACATTGTCTGCACATTCCAAAAACCAAGTTTGGTTTTTGTCTTGGTGTTGAGCACTTCAGTCTTCATGCCAGTGGCTTCCTTTCGGCTTTCACCACCGGCAGTCATACAGGTCATTCACTCCTGAAGGCCGTCACACACAGTAATGGTCGATTTCTCCGGTGCTGTTTCCGAAACATATTTTGTTTTTTTATGGGGACAGGGTTGTTAGCCCTTTGCCTAATCCCCAACCTAGAGGACCAGGGTGTTGTTTTATTTTTTTGGTCCAGCCCTCCCCCACAGACCAATTCGGCATGGTTGAACCTACCAGGAGCAAAAAGCCCCCACCGACACAGACTCTGGGGATCATTAGAGCACACAAGCTGTCCCACCACAACAAGGCACAGACACCAGAGGTCGGTAGAACAAACCAGGACATCCAGAACAAAATCAATAAAGCCAGGAACATTTTCTGGAGCTAAATAGGAACATGAGGAGGAGGAGGAGGTGGTAGTGGTATGGGGGCTGTGGGAAGGGGAGCTGGGCGGAAGCACTAGGGATGGGACTGTTTTGCGGGATGCACATAGGGGCTGGGCTGTACTGGGGAGGGGAGCACGAGGGATGGGGCTGTATTGCGGGGGCTGGGGGAAGGGAGCTAGGGCTGTAGGGAAGGAGGAAGGCGGGGGAAGGGAGCTGCAGTGGGAACTGGGGCTGTAGGGGGGAGGAAGGCGGGGACTGCGGGAAGGGAGCGGCGTGGGCGCTGGGGTTGTAGGGGGAGGAAGGCGGGGGCTGGAGGGGCGCTGGGGCTGTCAGGGAGGAAGGCGGGGGCTGGGGGAAGGGAGCTGGGGGGAGGAAGGCGGGGCGGGGGGGCTGGGGATGTAGAGGGGGAGGAAGGCGGGGGCTGGGGGAAGGGAGCTGGGGGGAGGAAGGCGGGGGCTGGGGCTGTAGAGGAGAAAGAAGGCGGGGGCTGGGGGGGGGGGGGGGGGGGGCTGGGGGAAGGGAGCTGGGGGGAGGAAGGCGGGGACTGGGGCTGTAGAGGGGGAGGAAGGCGGGGGCGGGTGGGGCTGGGGCTGTAGAGGGGGAGGAAGGCGGGGGCTGGGGGGCGCTGGGGCTGCATGGGGGGCGCTGGGGCTGTCAGGGAGGAAGGCGGGGGCTGGGGGAAGGGAGCTGGGGGGAGGAAGGCGGGGGCTGTAGAGGGGGAGGAAGGCGGGGGCTGGGGGAAGGGAGCTGGGGGGAGGAAGGCGGGGGCTGGGGCTGTAGAGGGGGAGGAAGGCGGGGGCTGGGGGGGCGGGCTGGGGCTGCATGGAGGGCGCTGGGGCTGTAGAGGGGGAGGAAGGCGGGGGCTGGGGGAAGGGAGCTGGGGGGAGGAAGGCGGGGGCGGGGGCTGTAGAGGAGAAAGAAGGCGGGGGCTGCATGGGGGGCGCTGGGGAGGAGGAACCGGGGCCCTCTCCCCTGAACTCACCCGCCACTGCCACGCCGCACAGGCGGCGCCAACTCATGGGAGAAGCCGGGCCGGGCCGGGCCGGGCCAAGGGGCCTCCTGCTAGGGGGAAGCCCCCACGAACCTTCTGCGCGCGACCCCGCCCCTCTCTCTCTCCCCCCACGTGGGCGGGCCGGCGGCGCGCTCCGCGTCTCTGGAGACGGCGCGTTGCTTCATGGGCGGGCCGGCGCCGCGTGCTGATGACGGCGGCGGGCGGGTCGGGGAAGGGCGCGCGCGCGCGCGCGCGGGGCGGTTGTTGGGGTGGGAGGCCTCGCGCAGGAGACTTCTCCGAGCCCGGGCGTGAGTCACGTGAGGGGGCGCGAGCCTCGCCGAGGGCCGCGGTGCGGAGCGGAGCGGGGCGCCGGCGGCAGCGAGCGCGGCTGGGGGCGGGCCCGGCGGAGGGAAGGGGCCGCTCGTGTGCCCGCGGGGGGCGCTGCCAGGCCGGCCAGGGAACGGTGGCGGGAAGCGGGCCTCGGGGCCAAGCCCTCAGGCAGGGGGCAGCCGTGAGGGCGGGGGCGTGACGGCGCGGGGCTGGTGGGCGGGCGTCTCCTGGCTGGGGCGCGGGACCTCGCCCCCCCCCCAGACCGCAGGCCTCGCCCCTGGGGTTCCCGGGCAGCCTCACAATGGGGTAAGGCCTGTGCCCCCCCGCGCCGGGATACCGCCGCCCCGCTGCGGCCCCTGCACCTGCTGCCTCAGCTTCCCCCCCCCCACCGCCCTTGCGCCCAGGACCTCAGCGCCCCCCCCCCCGTGGCGGGGGGCCCTGGGGCGCGGGGGGAGGGGGGCTGCAGGCTGGGGTCACGTGGCCCTGGGGGGAGGGGGGAGCAGGCCGGGGGGCACGGGGCCCTAGGGCGCAGGGGGGAGGGGGGAGCGAGCAGGTTGGGGGCCACGGGGGGGCTGAGGTGCCCCCTGACCTGCTACCTCAGCCCCCTCTGTGCTCCCAGGCCTGTTCCCCCCACCCCCTGCACCCCAGGGCCATGTGCCCCCTAACTTGCTACCTCAGCCCCCTCTGTGCCCTCTGACTTGTTTTTCCCCCACTCTCCCCTGCTATCTTGCATCCTGTGCCCCAGGGCCCTGTGCCTTCTGACCTGCTACCTTAGCCCCCTCTCTGCTCCACAGCCTGTCTCCCCACCCCACTACCCTGCTACATCACCCCCAGGGCCCTATGCCCCCTGCACCTGCTACCTCAGCTTGTCCCCCCCTTGCACCCAGTACCTCAGCCTCCTCTGTGCTCCACAGCCATTCCCCCCCTCCCCTGCCACATCACCCCCTGCCCCCCAAGGCCCTATGCCCCCTATACCTGCTACCTCAGCCCCCTTCTGCATGCAGCTATCTCAGCCCACCCTGTGCTCCATGGCCCGCCCCCTGCACCTGCTGCCTTAGCTTTCTCTATGCCCCATAATCCTGCTACTTCTCTGACCCTGGCCCTATTGCCTCCATGTATGAAATGTGTGCTGGCTATACTGCTCCCCTCCTGTGATTATACCCGTAATCCCACATGACAGACCTGGTGTATAACAGGATCATCAGGAACCCTGCAGGTGCAGTTAGACTGAAATATGGAGCAGAGTGTTAACCCTTGGGATACTGAAGGGAACAGTACATGTTTTGGGTACCTCTCCTTTTCCCCTCACCAGACACATGATATCCCTCCACCATCAAAGATCCCTCCCTGCCAAAGCAATTTCCTCCTGCCATTCATTCTCTCCTCTCAGCTGCCAGTATTGTGTTGCCACACAGGAGCTCTGTACTCATCCTTGGCATATGGGAGTTGTTGGGAACCACCATCAGAGGAGGAGAGGGAGGTTTGGGGGATCAGAGAGGCAGAGCCAGATGGGTTTGCTCCATTGCAGAGTCGCAGTGTGACTCATCTGTTAGCCGTCAGAAAACAGTTCCTTCTCCTTTGGCAAAGCAACTCCAGTGGCTTCTAGAAATTAGCCAGTTTCCAGATGACCTGTGTTTGGGAATTACCTTATTTTCCTAAGACTTAATAATAAAATCTGATGAAGAATTAAGTGAACTTGCTAGTGACTATGAGAAATGTTGCTGCAGAAAATTAAATGTCATACATTGGATATCTTCCTTCTGTTTCTGCTTTAATGCAGGTTGCACCATTACTACCTGGAACGATCAAAGAACGCAAAGCACAGATTGGCCTGATTTGAGCCTCCATATGCTATAATTTTGCAGAGAAAGAAGGTGAAATCATCAGTTCTCAGAATCCTCCTTTACACTAATTTGTCATTTTAAAGCACTTTCCAAAATGCTAATTAGCTACCTCAGAATTTCAAGGTGTTTTTTTTTAAAAAAAGGGCAATTTCAGAAGAGATTTGATTAAAGTCACAAGAAAAGGCTGCTTTGCTTGATCCATCTCTTTTTGGTCCATTTGGTCATTAGGTTACCTACAAAGAGAAGAACGTGTATGGTGCAGAGCTGTGGTGTAAGATTGGATCATTTACCTTGAGGAACTTTATGGAATAGTTTCATGCAGCAATTAAATCCAGTATTCCAGGCACAGCCCTCGTTGAACTGGTTCCTTGGACTTCTGTGGTTTTAACTAAGAGCAGGATGTCAGCAGTAAGCAGGACTCTGGGGTAAGCTTTACATTCAAATACTGTGACTTGCCTAAAGGGCTGGCTGATGTTGGTCCTGGTGTTAATTTTGATTGAATAAATGGGCTATCTCTTCAGTAGGTACTCAGTACCTCAAAAGATCAGACCCTTTATGACCACGAATAAAGTTTGTCGTTATTCTCGTTAAGACAGGATCTGATCCTCCAGCCCTTATTGCCCAGATTGCCCCAGTGAAATCAGGCGTTGACACCCTGTACCCCATGTTCACCATTTGTTATATTTTGTACAAAGTATGCCTTGTGAGGTATCATTTGAAAACTCATAATCTGCTGAATATTATTATCCGGTTGAAATGTTACTCCTGGGGGAATTCTGCGCCATTGTGCAATGCCGAATTTTGCAGAAATTAATGGGTTTTGCGCATAATTTCCTTACCCCAAAGAAATGGATTGCAGTGCTGCTGGCCGCAACTAGAGGCTGCTGGCCGCAACTAGAGGCTGCTGGCCGCAACTAGAGGCTGCTGGCCGCAACTAGAGGCTGCTGGCCGCAACTAGAGGCTGCTGGCCGCAACTAGAGGCTGCTGGCCGCAACTAGAGGCTGCTGGCCGCAACTAGAGGCTGCTGGCCGCAACTAGAGGCTGCTGGCCGCAACTAGAGGCCGCTGGACCTGGCAGAGCCCAGTTTGCACATAGAAGACATGGGGCGGGGAAGGGGGAGAGAGTAGAGGGTTCCGAGCAACTGTAATTTCCTGTATGCCTTGAGGGAAGAAGACAGTGGCGCTCAGAAAACTCCACACAAGCCTGGCTGGGAACCAGCAACAGGCTGTTTCTCTTTCTGGAACGCTGGGTGGTAAGGGGACAGATGGCTGGGCTCTGGGAAGGAGGGAGATGGGGTGTGGGCTGGGGGGACCCTCATGGCTGGGCTCGGGTGGGAGAGGGGGTTTGGGTGTATTGTATTTTCACTCTCTGCATCTGATGAAGTGGGTTTTAGCCCACGAAAGCTTATGCCCAAATAAATTTGTTAGTCGCCAAGGTGCCACAAGGACTCTTCGTTGTTTTTGAGAATCTTAGGTCAGCAAGCCTAGTGCCTAGTCTTCACTCCAACAATGGGTAATGAATATCTATCTATGAGCTTATACTGGCCAGGAGGATCCTGAACAGTATAAGATGCACATTTTTGGGGAGCAAGGTTGGGGCTGAAGGGTATGCATCGTGTCCTCCTGTATGTAATTCATGGATGGCTGGGTATAGCATTCATGTATTCAGCTGGGGGTGACTTTGCATGCTGGTGGCTGAGAGTGAGGAGAGCCTACAGGGGCTGCTGTTCATCAGCAAAACGGTATAAAAGGCATGCCAGGCTGGAGAACTAAGGGAACACAGCAGTCCAGATTGCACTCTGGGGAATGTCACAGTGGTATTGTTCACTTGAGTTAAGAGTTCCATGACCAGGACCAGTGAAACCAAATCTATTGTGCCCCTCATGCTCCTCTTCTCACTAAACGAAAAAGTCCTGATCTTTACACTTCCTTTTAATGAGGAAGATTTTCCATGGCTCTAACCATTTTCCTTGCCTGTCTGTACTCTCCTATTTTTGCTGTTTACACTATTCCACTTTGCTTTTCTGTGAAGATTGGTGATCCAAGGCCCTGTGAATTCTAGTCACATGATATAAATTAGCCTAGTGCAATCTGTCCTGGAGGCCGATCATCAACAAATGACTTATTTATTTGAAGAAAGAAAAACTGATTGTTAAAATGCCAGGCTGTACTACAGGACCAAGGATTTGCAGATGAGATCTGTCTGATTGTGGGATATGAAAGAGGGGCTTGGCCTGTTCATCTGTGCACAGAACTTGAGTTCTAATCCTGGCATGGAGTTCTAATCCTCCCAAGCCACTTAAATACTGTGTGGTTCAATTTCCTTGATGGTTGTTTTCTCCATTAAGCATTTGCTTTCCTTTGAAAAATGCCTTAGGTCCTGTGTAAAATTGTTGTATAAGCAAAAATATCGTTGTTGTTAATATAATTACTTAATATTTGTAAACCACTTTGAAGGTAAATGTTATGTAAATGCTCATCATCGTTAATATTACCAGGGTTGTGGTGGAAGCTTCTTTGCTTGGGACATTTAAAAGTATCCTGGCTGGAGGACTATAAATCTCTTCCGTCTCTAGTCCATGTTCTGTGACATGGTGTCATGTATAAGGCCCTACCAGTTTCACAGCTATGAAAAACATGTCAAGGAACAAGAAATAAGCCCTTCCCTGTGAAATCTGATCTTCCCATGCTGCTGGGAGCTCCTAGCTGCTAGTCCGGGCTGAGCTGGGGAAGGACAGGACTCGTCCTTCCCCTGCATGGCCGCTCTTGGTGGGGAGATCAGACCTACCTCCAGTGGCAGCGCAGAAGTGAGGGTTGTACAGAGCCAAGCTTAAGGCTTCTGCCCCTCAGGGTGCCTGGCTGTGGGGCTTCTGCCCCCGGAGTGCCCATGCGTTTATCCGCCACTGGCTGGGGCTAGCAGCTAGGAGCCCCCGGCAGGGCACTCCCAGCAGCACAGGGAGATCAGATTCACCTCCAACTCCGGGAGCCTCTTCCCCCTGCTGTAGGAAGCTCCAGGGCTGCTGCCCAGCTGTGAAGGCATCACAGAAGTGAGGGTGGCAATCCCCTGACACCCTCCCCTCCCCCCGATCATCTTTTGGGTAGGGACCCCCCTAGTTACAAGGCCCTGAAATTTCAGATCTAAACAGCTGAAATAGCGAAATTGACCAATTTTAAACCTTCTGGCCATGCAATTGACCAAAATGGACTGTGAATTTGGTTGGGCCCTAATCATGTATGTTGGTCTACTGAACTTGACTATCTTTTCCTCTGCATCCCTGTGGAATGGAGGGGAAGAATAACTAACCCTGCCCTGTTTTAATTCCTCTTAGTTTGTTGCGTCAGGATGCCATGCACAGGTTACTCCCCATTGCTTGCCATCTGCATACATCCCTCAGCCAATATAACTCCAACAGGACGTCCATTGCCCGCATTCAGAGGCAGACGTACGGCAGGTCCTACCCCGTGCTCTTGGTCAGGCCTGATGGATCTGCTATTCACATCCGCTATAAGGAGCCAAGGCGGATCATTACAGTAAGAAATTGAGCAAAATCTAATTTTTAATAGAACTGCTGGGATGGAGGTTGTATTGAGTATTGCCCAAGTAGGTGCGTAACGAGAGGGGTGGAGTTACAATTTCCTCTGACGCATCCTGTGTCGGTCACTGATGAGTACATAGGATTTGCCATATTGGATCAGACCATTGTGATCAGGGTATTAGACTGGATGGACCACTTTGATGCTGTAGAGAAAGGTGATAAACCTCCAAATGCATTTGTCCGGGGGCAGAGTTGTCTCCTTATCCTGAAACATGAGGTTCAATTAAGTTCCTCCAAGGAGGCAGAGCCACCAGTATTTTTAATGGTCATCTATTTAACAGGACATAAGGCTAGATGGATCATTAGATACTGTTGGGGTGGCTGTTCCAGTGTTCCTACATCATAGACACTTTGTGAAGCTGTAGAAGTAGTACTAATTAGCAATCGCATTGGATTTTTGGAAAGTTGTGTTCAGCTCTATCCCAGTTTCTTCCTAGTTTGCTTCCCCAGACGCTTCCTCCCTCAGACGGCCCAGTTACATTCATTAATCCCTGCTCATTGAGGGCAGTGTGCATCTCCCTTTAGAGCCTGTTAACATTGCTCCAGGTGTTGGCCTGAATGATGAAGTGGGCTCCCTTCCCCGCCTTCCCTTCAGATGGATTACAGAAGATGGAGGGGGCTAATCTTCAGAATTTTTTAATTTCCCCTCACCCCTTTATAAGAATATGGGGCTGAAATCCCCCCTACCCTAGAAATGTAATGGATGTCCTGTCTGGGTGGCATTGTGTGGTTATAGTTCAGAAGCCACCTCAAGCTCCAGGCATTTCTCAGGCAACCCCTGACCCCCTCCTTCCTGCTGATCTCAGCCTCCTCTGGCCAAAGACAGGTCTTTGAGATACAGGCCTTTTGGGGGGGAATGTGGTGATTCCAGGAACCAAACCCCTTTACCCCTTGGAAAGTCACTTGAATACAAGAGCAGGTGGGTCAGAGTCTGGATGGCTATGGGGATTAATAATGGGATAAAATGCCTTTCACCTTGAGATCACCAGCATAAAACCAGTCCCGTAACTGAAAGTCATTGCCATCTGATGGATCTTACGTACGAGTTTAGTGGGTCTTGGGTCAGCTCCCAGTGGGTAGGTGTCCACAGCACAAAACCCACCACCACAAATGGTTCTTATTGGCCTAGTACTGAATGAGTCAAATTGAATGATCATTGCATGCCTAGACATGGTCCATTCAAGTTGGGGTTGATGCACCGTGGCTGGTGGGGTGAGAGGAAGCCAGTGCTGTATCTCTAGTGTGGATAAGCACAGGACTACATTCCACAGAGCTGTTTTCCCAACACTTTTCTCCAGTAATAAATCCACTTAAAAATGCAATCTTCCTAATTGAAAAGAAACCCAATCCCTCCTCCACTTATTATTTTTTTCAGCTTATTTTGCACAGTACTAATAACTGCAACCTCTACATGCCACATTACTTTTGCCATTGCCCAGTCAACCCCTGTTTGGAAGGTTAGATGTTTGTGTTCTGCTGACCTTTCGCTACTACATCATACATCCTCAGAATAACAGATCAATGCAGAATAACTTCTGCATCTGCCCCCAAACCAGTGAAACCCCAGCAGTCAGTAAGAAAATCGTGATCAATAAAATGATTCCTATTTGATTAACCTCTATTGGGATTTTTATTTTGCGGCAAACTCCTCTGCACAACAATATCCCATCTCTCTCCTTTTGAACAGTGAGGCATTTGAATAAGATGCCTTTGTCTGATTATTAATTTTTGTTGCCCTCCAGATGCCTGTAGACATCAACACTCTTTCTGAGGCCGAAAGAAGAGCGAGGTTACGGAAACGCGATCCCAGAAGGCTTAAGAGCAAACAGGAGGAAGTGTTGGATGATGAGTTTAATTTGGACGATTACAGAAAATTTTGGAAGAAGAAATGAGTTTGTTCTGAGGATCTGTGGAAGTGTAAAGGGAAGATTTGGCAACCTGGGCCTGCAGAGAAGGAGATTGTAACTTACTGTTATAACGAGAAAGTTCATAGCTGAGTAAAGATTCTCTCTCTTCTGTGCATCTGTTTCTTTTATATGTATCAGAGTAACAGCCGTGTTAGTCTGTATTCGCAAAAAGAAAAGGAGTACTTGTGGCACCTTAGAGATTAACCACTTTATTTGAGCATAAGCTTTCATGAGCTACAGCTCACTTCATCGGATGCATATTGTGGAAAGTATAGAAGATTTTTTTACACACAGCATGAAAAAATGGGTGTTTACCACTACAAAACATTTTCTCTCCCCCCACCCCACTCTCCTGCTGGTAATAGCTTATCAAAGGTGATCGCTCTCCTTACAATGTGTATGATAATCAAGGTGGGTTATTTCCAGCACAAATCCAGGGTTTAACAAGAACGTCTGGGGGGGGTAGGAAAAAACAAGGGGAAATAGGTTACCTTGCACAATGACTTAGCCACTCCCATTCTCTATTCAAGCCTAAGTTAATTGTATCCAATTTGCAAATGAATTCCAATTCAACAGTCTCTCGCTGGAGTCTGGTTTTGAAGTTTTTTTGTTGTAATATCGCAACTTTCATGTCTGTAATCGCGTGACCAGAGAGATTGAAGTGTTCTCCGACTGGTTTATGAATATTATAATTCTTGACATCTGATTTGTGTCCATTTATTCTTTTACGTAGAGACTGTCCAGTTTGACCAATGTACATGGCAGAGGGGCATTGCTGGCACATGATGGCATATATCACATTGGTAGATGTGCAGGAGAACGAGCCTCTGATAGTGTGGCTGATGTTGTTAGGCCCTGTGATGGTGTCCCCTGCATAGATATGTGGACACAGTTGGCAACGGGCTTTGTTGCAAGGATAGGTTCCTGGGTTAGTGGTTCTGTTGTGTGGTATGTGGTTCCTGGTGAGTATATATGAGTATATGTATGAGTGAAGCAAATACTCACCAGCAACCACATATGTATGCGTTGTTTAGTGTTGGTGAAAGCTACTGGATTGACAGTCCTGGAGACTGAAGTTTCTGTTTATCCACTAATCAGATATATTGTGGGCACTGGCCGTGCAAGATCCTCCATTCTGACTCATCAAAATACCTCAACCATGATCATCTCATGGTCTGGATAATACTTAGTTCTGGACTAAGATGACCTCTCGAGGTCTCTTACAGTCTTATGTTTGTATGAACATATGAATGGCCATACTGGGTCAGATCAAAGGTCCATCTAGCCCTGTATCCTGTCTTCCAACAGTGGCCAATGCCAGATGCCCCAGAGGAAACGAACAGAACAAGCAATCCTCAAGTGATCCATTCCCCGTCACCCACTCCCAGCCCCTGGCAAACAGAGGCTAGGGACGCATCCCTGTCCATTCTGGCTAATAACCATTGATGTCCATGTCTATCCCCCATGAATTTATCTAGTTCTTTTTTGAACCCCATTATAGTCTTGGCCTTCACAACATCCTCTGGCAAAGAGTTCCACAGGTTGAGTGTGCATTGTGTGAAGAAATACTTCCTTTTGTTTGTTTTAAACCTGCTGCCTATTATTTTCATTTAGTGACCCCTAGCTCTTGTGTTATGAGAAGGAGTAAATAACACTTCCCTATTCACTCTTTCCACACCAGTCATGATTTTATAGACATCTATCATATTCCCCCCTTAGTAGTCTCTTTTCAAAGCTGAAAAGTCCCAATCTTATTAACCTTTCCTCATAAGAAAGCTGTTCCATACCCCTAATCATTTTTGTTGCCCTTTTCTAAACCTTTTCCAATTCCAATATACCTTGTTTGAGATGGGGCAACCATATCTGCACACAGTATTCAAGATGTGGGCGTACCATGGATTTATATAGAGGCAATATATTTTCTGTCTTATCTATCCCTTTCTTAATTATTCCCAACATTCTGTTAGCTTTTTTGAACTATCCACAATGACTCCAAGATCTCTTCCTGGAGTGGTAACAGCTAATTTAGACCCCATCATTTTATATGTATAGTTGGGATTATGTTTTCCAATGTGCATTACTTTGCATTTATCAACATTGAATTTCATCTGCCATTTTATTGCTCAGTCACCAAGTTTTGAGAGATCCTTTTGTAACTCTTCGCAGTCTGCTTTGGACTTAACTATCTTTAGTTTTGAATCATCTGCAAATTTTGCCACCTCACTGTTTACCCTTTTTTCCAGATCATTTTTCCAGTTAAATATTCCAGTACAGGCCCCTGGGGGAAACCACTATTTACTTCTCTCCATTCTGAAAACTTACCATTTATACCTACCCTTTGTTTCCTATCTTTTAACCAGTTACCAATCCATGAAAGGACCTTTCCTCTTATCCCATGACATCTTACTTTGCTTAAGAGCTTTTGGTGAGGGACCTTGTGAAGGGTTTCTGAAAATTTAAGTACACTCTATCCACTGGATCCCCCTTGTCCACATACTTGTTGACCCCCTCAAAGAATTCTAGTAGATTGCTGAGGCATGATTTCCCTTTACAAAAACTATGATGACTTTTTCCCAACAAATTATGTTCCTCTGAGTCTGACAATTTTGTTCTTTACTATCATTTCAACCAGTTTGCCCAGGACTGAAGTCAGGCCTACCAGCCTGTAATTGCCGGGATCACCTCTGGAGCCTTTTTTAAAAATTGGCATCATGTTAACTATCCTCCAGCCGTTTGATACAGAAACTGGTTTAAATGATAGGTTACAAACTACAGTTAGTAGTTCTGCAGTTTCACATTTGAGTTCCTTCAGAACACTTGGGTGAATACCATCTGATCCTGGTGACTTATTGCTGTTTAGATTATCAATTTGTTCCAAAACCTCCTCTGACACCTCAGTGTGGAACAGTTCCTCAGATTTGTCACGTAAAAAGAATGGCTCAGGTTTGGGAATTTCCCTCACATCCTCAGCAGTGTTCCCTCTAAATTTTCCCACCCATGTGTGGAATGAATTTTGTTATGAGGACCACTTTGGAGGTGATGTGTGACACATCAAGAACAAATCCGCACAGACACACCCCTGGAACCCTGACCAGGGTATTCTATCTGCTACCCAAGATCCATAAATCTGGAAATCCTGGATGCCCCATCATCTCAGGCAGTGGCACCCTGACAGCAGGATTGTCTGGCTATGTAGACTCCCTCCTCAGGCCCAACGCTACCAGCATTCCCAGCTATCATCGAGACACCACTGACTTCCTGAGGAAACTACAGTCCATCGGTGATCTTCCTGAAAACATCATCCTGGCCACTATGGATGTAGAAGCCCTCTACGCCAACATTCCACACAAAGATGGACTACAAGCCGTCAGGAACAGTATCTCCGATAATGTCACGGCAAACCTTGTGGCTGAACTTTGTCTCTGTCCTCACCCATAACTATTTCACATTTGGGGACAATGTATACCTTCAAATCAGCGGCACTGCTATGGGTACCTGCATGGCCCCACAGTATGCCAACATTTTTATGGCTGACTTAGAACAATGCTTCCACAGCTCTCGTCCCCTAATGCTCCTACTCTACTTGCGCTACATTGATGACATCATCATCATCTGGACCCATGGAAAAGAAGCCCTTGAGGAATTCCACCATGATTTCAACAATTTCCACCCCACCATCAACCTCAGCCTGGACCAGTCCACACAAGAGATCCACTTCCTGGACACTACAGTGCTAATAAGCGATGGTCACATAAACACCACCCTATACCAGAAACCTACTGACCGCTATACTTACCTACATGCCTCCAGCTTTCATCCAGACCACACCACACGACCCATTGTCTACAGCCAAGCTCTACGATACAACTGCATTTGCTTCAACCCCTCAGACAGAGACAAACACCTACAAGATCTCTATCAAGCATTCTTACAACTACAATACCCACCTGCTGAAGTGAAGAAACAGATTGACAGAGCCAGAAGAGTACCCAGAGGTCACCTACTACAGGACAGGCCCAACAAAGAAAATAACAGAATGCCACTAGCCATCACCTTCAGCCCCCAACTAAAACCTCTCCAACGCATCATCAAGGATCTACAACCTATCCTGAAGGACGACGCATCACTCTCTCAGATCTTGGGAGACAGGCCAGTCCTTGCTTACAGACAGCCCCCTAACCTGAAGCAAATACTCACCAGCAATCACACACCACACAACAGAACCACTAACCCAGGAACCTATCCTTGCAACAAAGCCCGTTGCCAACTGTGTCCACATATCTATTCAGGGGACACCATCATAGGGCCTAATCACATCAGCCACACTATCAGGGGCTCGGTCACCTGCACATCTACCAATGTGATATATGCCATCATGTGCCATCAATGCCCCTCTGCCATGTACATTGGCCAAACTGGACAGTCTCTACGTAAAAGAATAAATGGACACAAATCAGACGTCAAGAATTATAACATTCAAAAATCAGCTGGAGAACACTTCAATCTCTCTGGTTACTTGATCCAGACCTAAAAGTGGCAATGCTTCAACAAAAAAACTTCAAAAACAGACTCCAACGAGAGACTGCTGAATTGGAATTAATTTGCAAACTAGATACAGTTAACTTAGGCTTGAATAGAGACTGGGAGTGGATGGGTCATTACACAAAGTAAAACTATTTCCCTATGTTTATTCTCCCCCCCACACACACACACTGTTCCTCAGACGTTCTTGTTAACTGCTGGAAATGGCCCACCTTGATTATCACTACAAAAGGTTCCAGCTCTCCTGCTGGTAATAGTTCACCTTACCTGATCACTCTGGTCACAGTGTGTATGGTAACACCCATTGTTTCAGTTCTCTGTGTATATAAATCTCCCCACTGTATTTTCCACTGAACGCATCCGATGAAGTGAGCTGTAGCTCATGGAAGCTTACGCTCAAACAAATTTGTTAGTCTCTAAGGTGCCACAAGTCCTCCTTTTCTTCTCGCCTCCATAGTGGTGCACATAACAAAGTTCATGGGGGTGAGGCTGAGCGGTTCAGAGTGTGGCAGGAGGCTCAGGGCTGGGGCAGAGGGTTGGGTGCAGGTGGTGCGGGCTCTGGGGTGGGGCT